TGGGAGATTTCTGATTACTGTTTCAATTTCTTTGCTGCTTATGCATCTGTTCAAATTATTTATTTCTTCCTAAGTCAGGCAGAGAAGGACAAATATCATATGTTTGCACGTATAGGAGGATTAGGAGGAACTTGACGGAGGAACAAGGGGGAGAAGAAGGGCGGAAATGGTGGGGGAAAGGGAGAGAGGCAAACCATGAGAGACTCTTGAATGCTGACAAAAACTGAGGGCTGATGGATGTGGGGGGGAGGAGGGGATGGGCATAGAGGAGGGCACTTTGGGGATGAGCACTGAGTGTTATGTGGAAACTAATTTGACAATAAACTATTTGTAAAAAAAAAAAAAAGAAAAATGTTTAATCTAAAAAATAAATAAATAAATAAAATAATAAAAAAGGAAACAAAAAAAATTATTTATTTCTTCCTATTTCAGTTTTGGTAGTTTATGTGTTTCTAGGAATTTATCTATTTCTCCCAGATTGCCCTACTTGTTGGCATATAATTTTTCATAATATTGTCTTATAATTGTATTCCTGTCTTGTTGGTTGTGATCTCTCCACCCATTCTTGATTTTATTCACTTGAGTCCTTTTGTTTTCCTCTTTGTCAAGTCTGGCTAAGGCTTTATTATGTAAATTATTTTTGAAGTTTATTTACTTATTTTGAGAGAAAGATAAAAAGAGAGAGCAGGAGAGGGACAGAGAGAGAGGGAGAGAATCTCAAGCAGGCACTGTGTTGTCATCTCATGAACCAAGAGATCATGACCTGATGAATTCAAGAGCCAAATGCTTAACTAAGGCACCTATCGATTATGTAAATCTCTCAAAGAACTGGCTCCTAGTTTCACTGAGATGTTCTACTGATTTTTTTTAAATTTGATATCATTTATTTCTGCTTTAGTCTTTATTATTTCCCTCCTTCTGCTGGTTTTGGGCTTTATTTGCGTTTATTTTTCTAGCTCCTTGAAGTGTAAAGTTAGGTTGTGTATTTGAGACTTTTCTTCCTTCTTGAGGAAAACTGGATTGCTATATACTTCCTTCTTTTTACTGCCTTTGCTGTATTCCAAAAGTTGGACTATCATGTTTTCATTTTCATTGGATTCCAGGTTTTCTTTTATTTCTTTTTTAATTTCCTGGTCAACCCATTTACTCATTAATAAGGTGTTCCTTAATTTCCATGTATTGGTGGTCTTTCCAAAAAAATTTTTTTTTAGTTTTGTGTGGAGTCCAAAATAATAGAAGGATCTGCAATAGGTACAGGCTTCAATTCAAGCTGCTCTACAACTTGGGCCATATGATCTAACATATTCTGTGACCGTTGTGTCAGAAGCAGGTAAGGATGCTATTTGGAACTTTTGGCAGGCCCCATAGGTGCATTATAATGCGAGTCTTTAGGATTTGGGAGGAAAGCCCTGTCATAAGCTATAGATAATTACTTTACTTTTTAGAAACATCTGCTGCTGGGTCTTTATAGAGATTGAATTCTTGACCATGGGCCACCAAGTTACCATACAACCTCAGCTTCTTATCATGAGCTGAGTGTTTTCTGACCCACCAAGCCATAAGATTAATCATGCACAACAGCACTCCATCATCAAATGGAAATGGTAATTGTATAATCAGGCCCAAGCAGTCCCTGAAGGCAGAGGTAAGTTACATGAATAAGCTGGCTAAATGCTCATGGTCCCCTCTCCTGCCACACTGCCTTGCCTCTCCCAGCTAGTACTTAATGGCTTTCTGGGATTTATTTACCACTAGTTGGTGAAGAAAGAGAAGACTTGGGCTTTGTAGACAGATGATTCTGCATAGTAAGCAAAAAACCACTAGAAAATGGAGAGGCAAAACATTACAGCCTTTCTCTTGGACATTCCTGAAGGACAGCAGTAAAAGGAAACCCTCCCAAGAGGAAATCACTTCAGGCAGTGTACTTACTTGTGAACTTTTCTTGGAAGGAGTAATACCAAGACATGTAATGAATATTGATGGTTGGATGGTCAGGAACTCATAAGGAAGATGAGTGGAAAATTGGTGACAGAGAAATTTGGGGAAAACATATATACTTCTCTGAATGGGTAAAAAATGTGAAGATAGTTGTGTCCCATGTGGTTGTTCACTAAAGGGGGAATTCAGCAAAGGAAGATTTTAATAATCAGATGAAGAGGATGACTCATTCTGTGGATAGTAGTCAGCCTATTTCTCTAATCACACCTATTCTTACCCAAAGGGCTCATGAGCAAAGCGATTATGGTAGCATACATGGAGGTTATGATTTGGCTCAGTAATATGAATTTTCACTCACCAAGCCCTACATGGTAACAGTCACTGCTGAGTGCCTAATCTGCCAGCAGCACAGGCAAATTCTGAATGCCAGGTGTGGCACCATTTCCTACGATGTTCAGCCAGATACCTGGTGGAAGATTGATTATATTGGACCACTTACATAAGGGGCAACATTTTTCCTTATTGGAATAGACTCTTGCTCTGGATTTTGATTTGCCTTCCCTACATGCAGTGCTTCTGTCAAAACTATCCTCCATGGAATTATAGAATGCCTTACTTAGCATTATGTTTTCTACTCAGCATTTCTTCTAATCAAGGAACTAACTTCAGAGCAAAAGAAGTGTGGCAATGATCCTGGGCTCATGGAATTCACTGGTTCCCCACAGTCCTGAAGCAATTGACTTGATAGGATGGTCGAATGGCTTTTTGAACACTCAGTTACATCATTGGGTAGCTAGCAATATCTTTTGGGGCTGAGACAAAGTTCTTTTAAAAGACTACTTATGCTCTGAATCAGTGTTCATATATGGTGTTATTTCCCACATAATCAGGATTCATGAGTCCAGGAATTGAAGGGTGGAAATAAGAGTGGGACCTTTCATTATTAACCCAAGTGACCCACTAGCAAAATTTTTGTTTCTTGTTTCCATGACTTTATGCTGTGCTGGACTAGAGGTCTTATTCTCAGAGGGAGGAATGCTTTCACCAGGAGACACAACAATGATTCCTTGAGAAGGAGATTGGAATATTTCAGGATTTCTCTTAGTATTATCATGCCTTAGAATTAAAGTCAATAGAAAACTACAACAGTTGGACTACTAATGGTCCAGACTCCTCAGAAGTAAAGGTTTTGGTCACCAAACCATCCCAGGTGCTTTCTGAGATCAAAGGGAAATCAGAATGGGTAGCAAAAGAAGGTAGTTGTAACTACCAGCTATAACCACATGATAGTTTCAAAAGTGAGGACTGTGATGCCATGAGTATTTCCTCCTTATAATGTCACAAATACATTTGTGTGTATATATACATATCTTAAGCAAGTATTTTTGTTTCCATTTCTCCCTTATTCTCTTCTAGCATAAGACATTTTGACTTTATGTCAGTATTTAAGTATTGCTGATTTTAAAACATAGTATTAAAGTTTAAAGATATCAGAAGAAGAGTAAACATCATTCAAGGATTTTATCTCCTCTGGACAAGGGATTTTTGTTTGTATTCAGGATACTTATATCACACTAGACAGAGTTATATTTATTTGGAGAATAAGTATATGATTGCAAGTTAAGCAGAGGTAGGCGTGTGATGATTAATTTTAAAAATTTTTAAATGTTTTATTTCTGAGAAAGAGAGAGAGAGAGAGACAGCATGAGCTGGGGATGGTCAGAAAGGGAGACACAGAATCTGAAACAGGCTCCAGGCTCTGAGCTAGCTGTCAGCACAGAGCCCGACGCGGGGCTGGAGCCCACGAACCATGAGATCATGACCTGAGCTGAAGTCAGACGCTTAACTGAGCCACCCAGGTTCCCCCTTGATGATTAATTTTATATATCAACTTATGAATCACCAGAAATCTGATAAATCATTATTTCTGGTTGTGTTTGAGTATATCTCTGAAGGAGAGTAGCATTTTAATCAGAAAATTGAAGATTAACCTCATCAATGGGAATGGGCATTATTTAACCTTGTGAGGATCTGAATAGGAAAAAAAATGATGGAGAAAGGATGAATCTGTTCTTTACTTGAGCTAAAACAGTCATCTTTCCCTGCCCTGGGGCACCATTGGCACTCTTGGTTCTCAGGTTTTGAGGTCCGACCTAAACTTAACAAGTCTCAGGTTTTCACACCCATATGAAATTCCACCATCATCTTCTTGGTTCTCTAGCTTCCATATAGCAGGTCATGGGAATTTTTGGCCCCCATAAGTATATGAGCCAATTCCTATAACAAATCTTCTCATCTATCTATCTATCCATCTATCATCTATCTATAAGCTACTTACCTACTTACCAATTTATCATCTATCTGTCATCTAATTATTAATCATTGATATTCTATTCATTCTGTTTCTCTGGAGAACCTTGACTAATGCATTTTTTTATTGTAACTTCCTCTTAAGAATAAACTTTTTCATTATGATATACTTTTCTTTGTGAATGCTTTCACTGTTAAAGTCCATCAAGCTTTCTTTTATATACAGTTTTGGTATATAGATTTCTATGGTATACATCTTTCCATCCTTTACCCTGAACTTTATATACCTGAGGTATGTCTTTTGTGACCAGCGTATAATTGAGAATTATTTCCAAATCTTAGGTTCATTTTTTTTGATTGGTAATGGACCTGACTATAATGTAATTACATAGTATTGCAATTTAAAATATAATAGTGACTTTTAATCATGGCGTTACATTTATTATAACCATTTTTTATCTCATGCCTATGGCTTAACAGAATTAGTGCACACTAACAATTAGTATGAGATAACTTTAAAAATAAGAAATATGTAATATAAAAATTTATAAATTTGAATTTCTTACAAATAACTCATCTGTAAAATTTTATATGTAAATATAAATTTATATTTGTTATAATAGAACTCTTCTATCTTTTCTTGTCACATCAGAACAATAACATGCAGGTTTTGAATCCCGGACAATCAGGCAATGGAGGTAGCTGGGGTTTGTTTTGTTTTTTGGGGTTTTTTTGTTTTGTTTGTTTTTTCATTTTTCCTGTCCATCGAAGATAATTAGTCTGGAAGAATAAATAAAAGAGAAGAAGTTACCTTTTGACCAATCAAGTTAAAAGAGGTTAATTCAACAAATAGCATCTTATTATAAGATAAAGTTTTATCATGCAATTTATTTGTAACCAACTTCTAAATACACAAATAGTCAAAGATTAAACGTTATAAGAAACAAATTTAAAAGATCACACTGCAAATAAGGTTTTGAATGAAAATTGAAAAGTCACTTATAGTTTACAATGTCTATGATATAGTTTACAATATTGAAAAATATTTTTGAATTCAATTTTTATTCTATCTAACAATATGACTATCACCATTAAACATATATTTATATTATTTACATTTATCTAATACATTAAATTTCCTGTTTCTCTGTCTCTGCCTTTCACTCTTTCATTATTTTATACTCACTGTGTTATGATGGATCCTGTTTTTCTGGCCACTCTCTAGGTTCACTCTCACTTTCAAGTTGCCTACATGTTTCAAAATATAAATATAATCACTTTAAATTATATTTTCTTCAAGATTGTTCCACAAAATTCTGTACATACTATCAATATTGATACAGTTTTGAATTCCCATCTGTAATCTAAGACTAATCACTGCTTGAGAATATATTACCACTGAGAACACCGCTCAATTAGCAATCAAGACTAACATGAGATAAAATGCATTAATATAAATTTACCTAAAAATGAATGCATAATTTTCATTTTCATAACATTATTAGCAAAATAGATTTAAGCTGTCCTGTGATTCATCTTCTTCCATATTTTTCTATGAATTTTACTAACTACTTTCTCTCCCAAAGATATTTGATATCATTTTTCTACATTTTATACACTGCATATTATTTCAGCAGTTTTACATAAAATTTTCAAAGCATTTCTGTGTAATGTATTCTCTTTTATTTTATATTATCTTACCAACTTTAAGTATTTTAATAAAATTTAATTTTTAATAAGTAAAATGAATACCAACACATATAAAACTCAAAGGCACAAATTATTTTATAACAATTCCCCTGAAGAAAAGTAACACAATTATAATATTTATTTTATTTTTGATGCATATTTTCAGATGTTTCTAAGGTTTTTTAATGAATAGTTATTTGTTTTATTTTTTTCTGAAGATTAGCCTTGACTATAATCTAGATTTTTCAGTCACACTACTTTTTATTATTTTTTAAACTTTTCAACCTTTGGTTGCCTAACTTTCAATTTATCTAACTGCCTGAAAGGCTAATTACTCTTTTAGATTTCTCTGTTTCTTTTTAATAAAATGATATACACAAAATACTTTGAAATATATAAATAATAAAAAATAATGTTTAATTCATAATAGTTAAGATCAAATAATAAAAGGAGGTAGATAAGCATTAAAAATTATTTCCACTTAGTCTTACCCAGAGTTCAAATTGTTACAATAAAAAATTCCTGACATTTTAAAATAGTCTATTTGTTATGCATTATACTAATTATTAATGTAAGTATTATATTTTATATAAAGGTAAAAATTAAATCTGAATTATTTGTTACATCATGATGTTTATTAATAAGTCATAATATGCCAACAACTTATAAAAGGAATGAATCTTATATATGAAATTAATATACTCATCGCTTGTATACTCCTCAGTTCTCCATTTGTTTCTTTGGAAATAAACTTTTACAAGTATGGCAATCAGTACACAGAGAATAACGATAAAAGGAATGAGTAAGAAAAATGACCATCTTGTCGGTTTGGAATGGTAAAAAGTTTCAATGTAGTGTCTTTCTAGGAGAGAAAACACCAGTGATTTGAAAGCATTTACCAGGAATATAATAAAGACATTTCTTAAGGGCTCCATCTACCAAGATCTAACAATTGTAAATATTTATGCCCCCAATTCCTGTTTTTAAAATGTTTTATTTATTTCTGAGAGAGAGAGAGAGATAGCGTGAGCAGGGGAGGGTCAGAGAGAGGGAGACACAGAATCTGAAGCAGGCTCTAGGCTCTGAGCTGTCAGCATAAACCCTGATGCGGGGCTCAAACCCATAAACCACGAGATCATGACCTGAGCCGAAGTCGGACGCTTAACTGACTGAGCCACCCAGGCACCCCTTAAGTCCCCGATTCTAAGGCACTAAAATATATACATCGATTAGTCACAAACATAGAGAAAATCATTGATGATAATATAATGCTATAAGTGAGGACTTTAACACCCCACTTACAACAATGGACAGATCACCTAAGCATAAAATCAATAAGGAAACAATGACTTTGGATGACACACTGGACCAAATGAGCTTAACAGATATATTAAGAACATTTTATCCTAAAGCAGCAGAATACACATTCTTCTTCAGTGAACATGGAACATTCTCCAGAAGTGAACATGGTTCAATTCTCAGCTCTTGACAAGTACGAAGAGATCAAGCTCATACCATGTAATTTCCATACCACAACACTATGAAACCACAAGAAAAAATTCAGAAAGAACAGAAATACTTGGATATTGAAGAACATTAAAGAATGAATGGGTCAACCCATAAATTAAAGAAGAAATTAAAAAGTATATTGAAGCCAATTAAAATGAAAACACGACAGTTCAAAACCTTTGGGATGCAGCTAAGGCATTCATAAAAGGGAAGCATATAGCCACCTAGGGCTTCCTGAAGAAGGAATAAATGTCTCAAATACACAAGCTAACCTTATATATAAAGGGACTGGGAAAAGAACAGCAAATGAAGCCTAAAACCAGCAGAAGAAGGGAAATAATAAAGATTAGACCAGAAATCAAATATATAAAAATATACAGTAGAGGTGTGCCTGGGTAGCTCAGTTGGTTAAGCTTCCCACTTCAGCACAGGCTATGGTCTCTCAGTTTGTGAATTTGAGTCCCACATCAGTCTTTGTGCTGACACCTCATAGCCTGGAGCCTGCTTCGGATTCCTGTCTCCCTCTCTTTCTCTGCCCCTCCCCTTCTTTGCCCCTCCCCTGCTCATGCTCCTGCGCATGCTCGCTCGCGTGTGAGCTCTCTCTCTCTCTCTCTCTCAAAATGAATAAAATAAAAATGAAATTTTTATGTTTTTAAAAAATAAAAAACAATAGTAGAACAGATCAACAAGACTAGAAGCTGGTTCTTTGAAAGAATTAATAAAATTGATAAGCCCTTAGCCAGATTTATCAAAATTAAAAAGGAAAGGACCCAAAATAAATAAAATCATGAATGAAAGAGGTCACAGCCAACACCACAGAATAGAAACAAAAATAAGAGAATATTATGAGCAATTATATGATAACAAATAGGGCAATTTGGAAGAAATGGATAAATTTCTAGAAATATATAAACTATCAAAACTGAAACAGGAAAAAACATATGAACAGACCCATAACCAGTAAATGAATTGAATCAGTAATCAAAAATCTCCAAACAAATAAGAGTTCAGTGTCGGATGGCTTCCCAGGGGAATTCTACCAAACATTTAAAGAAAATTTAATAACTATTCTTTTGAAGCTCTTCCAAAAAATACACACAGAAGGAAAAGTCCAAACTCTTTCTATGAGACCAGAATTACCTTGATTCCAAAACCAAAGACATCACTGAAAAGGAGAATTACATACCAATTTCCTAGATGAACATGAGCGCAAAAATTCTTATACTAGCAAATCGAATCCAACAATACATTAAAAAGTATTATTCAGCACAATCAAGTAGGATTTATTCCTGGGCTGCAGGGATGCTTCAATATCCACAAATCAATATGATACATCACATTATTAAAAGAAAGTATAATAACCATATAATCCTCTCAATAAATGCAGAAAAAACATTTGACAAAATACAGTATCCTTTTTTGACAAAACCCCTGAAGAAAGTAGGGATAGAAGGTACATACCTCAACATCATAAAGGCCAAATATGAACCACCCACAGCTAATATCACCCTCAATGGGGAAAACTTGAGAACTTTCCCACTAAGATCAGAAACACAAGGATGTCCACTCTCACCACTGTGGTTCAACATGGTACTGGAAGTCCTAAACTCATCAATTAGATAACAAAAAGAAAAAAGGGAGAGGGGCATACAAGTTGGCAAGGAAGAAGTCAAACTTTCAGTCTTCACAGAGGACATGACACTCTGTGGAAAACCTAAAAGACTCCACCAAAAAATGCTAGAACTGATCCAGGAATTCAACAAATTCACAGGATATAAAATCAGCATACAGATATCAGTTGCTTTTCTATACCAATAATGAAGTAGCAGAAAGAGATATTAAGGAATCAATCCCATTTACAATTACACTAAATACCATAAAATACCAAGAAATAAACTTAACCAAAGAGGTAAAATATATGTATGCTGAAAACTAAAAAAAGCTTTTGAAAGAAATTGAAGACTCAAAAAAAAAAAAAAAAAAAAAAAGAAGGAAAAATACTCCATTCTCCTGAATTGGAAGAAGAAATATTGTTAAAATATTGATACTATCCAAAGCAATCTACACATTCAATGCAATCCCTATCAAAAAACACAAGCATTCTTTTTATTCTATAGTTTATTTTCAGAACTGTTTGATAATATAAATGAATAGAAAGTGTGACTCCTGTAAAGAGCAGAAGCAGTCTTTCTCAATACTCTATTATTAATAAGAAATACTGTATATGTGATAAAATTTTCATGAATTCCAACGTGCCTTTCTTTCATTGTATTGATATGTATTTTCATGTCTTATCTAAGAAATTATCGCTTATTTCAAGGTCATGTAGAAATTATCTTGCTTTCTTCACGAATAAGGATCACTTGGTCTTATGTAGATATTCAATTGTTACAATACAATGTTTTGAAATTATTTTCCTTCTTCATTGAACTATCTTTGTATTTTCCTTGAAAAAAACTGTTTAACGATATATCAAGGACTCCCTATTCCATATTCCATGTCACTGATATGTTTGTATATCTATCATTACCATGGCCACACTGTCTTCATAACGTAACTATATGTTAAATCTGTAATATACTAAATTCAATATCGGGAAAATAGATTAAACTCCTTTTTTTGTTGTTCTCTTTCAAAGTGGGTTTTATAAATTGGCCATTCTGAGTCCTTTAGCAAATATTTTAGAATCAAATGTTAATATATAAAAAGTTGTATGCTGTTTGATTGGGTCTTTTAATCAATAGATTTAGTGAGAATTGACATCGTAAAATAATAAACCTGGTGTACATGGTAAATTTCTCAACTTATTTTTATGTTTAACGTCTCTCTTCATTTCTGTTTTAGTTTCAGTATAAAGGCATTATACATATTTTGTTAAATTTATTTCCAAAATATTATACTTTTATAATATTGTAAATAGTACTAATTTTAAGTTGGTTTCCATTTACTGCTGCTATTATATAACAATACTACTAACTTTCGAACATTATTTCCTCTCACCTATCAAAATATATTATTTCTAGAAGTGTTTTGTAGATCTCTTAGGATTTAATATTGTACTTAAGCACAACATATGCAGTCTCACTTGCTCCTTTCTAATAATAATGTTTATGTTCTTGATTTCTTATGTCTTGTTATCGCACTGGCTAGGATGTCTAGGATTGACGGGAAAATGTTGACTAGCCATGGTGAGAGCATAATTTGTTGCCTTGCTTTCATTTTTTTAAAAACAATGTATTTCATCATAAGCTGTATTAGCTACATTTTCTGTTGATGCTTTTTATCAGATTGATCAAATTTACTTGTGTTAGTTCACTGCTTTTTAAAAAATTCATAAATATGTGTAAAATGTTTTGTCAAATGATTTATATATCACAGGAGAAAATCATATACGTTTAAGAAATAATTTTATTGATTTTATGAATCTGCTGATTGACTTCAAGTGATAAAGTAGACTTGCATTTCTAAGATAAACCTCAATTAGTCTGGATTACTATCCTTTTAATATAGATAGCTATAGAATATGCTAATATTTTGGTAAGAATGCTTTTGTTTTTATAAAAGATGTTGTCTTATAACTTTATTTATTTTAACTTCCTCTTCTGGATTTGGTATCAAGGTTATATCTTCCTTATACAATGAGGTTATAGAAGTCCCTCCTACCAGTTTTCTGAAAATGGTATTTCTTCTTTACAAAATTTTCTGAATTTAACTTGTGAAAACATCTATTTCTGGAGTTGGGGGGTGTTGGATATTTTTAGTGGTATTGATATTTAAAAATTATAAACCAACAGACCAAAGAAGTTTTAATTCTGGTTTCTTGGTTATACCTTTGATTTATAATTCCTTTTCCACATGAATAGCCATTTTTAAAACTGAGTAGCTTTTTTAGCCTTGCTCCTTGCCCATAACTAATTGGGACTCAAAGAGCTTATGTACTATTTTGATCACTTTTAGTCTGAGCTGGTACAATTCCTTTAAAATGTGTGGGCTTCTTGTGTGTCAAATAAAAAGTACACCTTATTAACCAAAGGAAAGGTCATGCCCACAAGGTTTTTTGAGATAAGATTTTTTTCTATATTGGACCCCGGTAAGGCTACTATGAGATAACCTATTCAAGATTCTTCATGGCTTTAGTGTTTGAGAATTTTTAGAAGCATTCTAATACAACACTTAGAAAACCTTTTGCATAGATTAAGAGGTATAAAATGCATCACTTTATTTTTTTTTGAGGTTTTCAAAAAGAATCTTACAGTTACATGCTTGACTTAATTTTTAACTGATATGAAATTTTATTGTTCAATATCTCAAATATAGTTTTTCGCCATTTCTCTCAACAAACATGTTTTGTTGGAAGAGTCTAGGGGTGAGAAGGTTTTATTTTCAAACTAAACCAAACCAAAACAAAACAAAACATAAAATCCTGTCTTTTATATTTGATCTACATTTTACTTGAAAATTGAAATGCTGCTTTATTAGTTATTACTGTCTTCTTACATCTTAGCATAGGTAAATTATATCACCTACTGGATATATTTGCAATCTACCTGCAAATCTTGCTAACTAGAACCATAAATTCTATTTTCCATGTTGTCACAGGCAAGAGTGATGCCAAACAATCTGCCACTTCATAATATATGTCCTTATTTCTCCAACTTCTGATAACATGTTTTAAAGCTATCTTTGGATTGCTCACCAACAGTATTCTTAAGACAATTTCAACATATACTAAAAGTCTTCAACAGTTTCCTAGAGGTCTTTCTACCTTCTGTGCACCATCCACTTCCAAAGCTAATGCCACATGTCTTGGATTCTTTTGATATGAATACAAACTGGTTACGAGATTGTTTTCTATTATAGAGAAAAAGATGTGTGGGAAACTTCATTCAAACATAGAAATTTAAAACAATCATTTAATTTTATTCATTTTGTGTGTCACAAGTTTGGGGAATTTGTGTTTTTTACCTCAAGGTAGTCAAATTTCAAATAGGGAAGATGATTTTCAACAGAATGAGTTTTGCAATAGTGAGAGTTGCAAGAATTGGTATTCTAAAAAACCCAGTCAGAATCTCACTTCTATACATTTTATTGATCACTAAGGTCAACCTGGACTCTAGGAAATGAGAGGTCACTTCTGATTATTGGTGAAATCATGTTTGTGTATGGACAGAAGCAATAAATTACGTTGGTTTGAAGATAAGCTACTGCAAGCCAATTGTCCCACAGAATGGAAATAGCTAGAGATGCATTAAGTATGCCGTAATGTTTTGAACTTACCAATCTATTACCATATGGCAAACACTAGAATGGATGTGGACATGTTAAGAACTACCTCTAGATCAAAATCTGGAAAAACCAGATTTAATTATCTGAAATTTAGGTTTTTATATAAAGTCTGTCCCTAAGGATCATTGGATATACTTGGCTTGCTCTAAAATCCATCCTTCTTTGAATAAAAATTATAGGAAACTATATTTTCTAAGAACTCCAGACTTCTAGTTATTTTAGGCTAACAGGGGTAACTGCAAAACTTTCGGAATGTCAGAATAGTGAAATATTTACAGTATTTAACCTGTCTCTGCACCATCTCCCATAGTGGCTTTATACCTCTACCTCATGGTAGGCAGTACCCTCTCCTTGTGATCTACTTCCCGGTATGTAACCCATCATGCTAGATGGCTCAGATACTGATTCTAGTAATACTGCCTCCTTTCATTGTCCCTCCAGCCACAGAAGTGATAGTTGATTACTGTGTTGCCTAAAGATTCTCTGATTGGCTTTCATCTCTGCCACTGCGTGCTACCTGATGCCTTATGTTGAATTCCTTCTGTGTGAAGGACTAAAGTGATATTTGTTTTCCTGCCTGTGCTTTTACTGATATGCTTTATTTATAATATATGTTACATATATTATATTACTCCCTACAAGTAAAATATAAACTTTCTTGATATGGTTTATTATTTGAATCCATACCTAATCTAAACATAGAAGGTAGACAGCTAAATATTATTTATTTTATCAAATTTAGTAAATTGAAATGTTGTTTTAGTTATGTTTTCAATTTTTTATTAATACTTACCAGAACTGGATAGCCTAGTGGCTGCTTGATGTGGAAAATTTCCACTGTCAACACTCCCACCGGTCCAAGTATCATCACTATTTTCTCAATTAGGAGGTAAATATGAAGGGTTACAGTGGCAGTTCCTTTTATTATTGCATACCTGAAACCATGGGAAATATCAGCTTATAAGATAAGTAGCTATAATTATTTGTGTTCTGGTAGACTTTTAAAATAATACTTAGGTCAAATAAGGCCAATCTTTTTATTTGGCTTATGAGTATATAAATGTGTGTGTGTGTGTATGTGTGTCTGTGTCTGTGTTTGTGTGTTCAGTTATGTGTTTACTTTCTAGTATTACTCTCATTAGTTTATATTGTCACATTATCTTATTGGTACTTACACCATGATCATTGCATTTTCCTGGATTACAATCATAATTCAAGTATCCAGCATCTACACATTCTTGATTCTTGCAAACCTAAAAAGAAAATAAGCCAAAGTAAAATAACTGAAATAACATCTATATTTGACATTTCATTAAAAGAATTCACTACTGTATTGATATAAAAAGTATTTATTTAATAACAAGTGTTAATATACTAACAATAAGTTGATTAAATTAGAGTGCTGTTTCCAGCACTAGATGAGACTCTGATGATCTGACTGATAGTTAAGAAAATAACAAAAGTATCTTCTCTTCTTAGGTACAGACATCAAATAAATAAAAGTAAAGATAAATGTGTCATAAATACTGTAATGAAAAAATGGTTTTATGAAAAAAGTACAGGGAATTTATCTGATATGTGAGAAGAGTTTAATAATCTTTCAAGCCTCTTATCAACCCCAGATGTTGAACAGGACTTAGGCAAGGATAGAAATGAAAGACAAAGTACTTATAGGAAAAGAAATAATATTTAAAAAGACCTTACATTGAAAGATAGCACAGACCTTTGAGAAACATTAACAGCGGTGTAACTTTTACACAGAGAACAATTATTCAATCATGAATTCACTAAATAATTGAGTCCTACTGCATGCCTGTCCTGAGAAAAGACCAGAGAACAAAAAAAATCTCATATTGTTCATATTGCAGTGAAAGATACAGAAATACACAAATAAAAAGGCTAAATGTGATGTGACAGAAACTGTTATGGTGGGATTGTGCAGGGCCTTACATTATTTTTTAAAAGTTCATTTATTTATTTTGAGAGCGAGAGAGAAAGTGCAACTGGGGGGAGGGGCAGAGAGAGAGGAGAAAGCAAGAATCCCAAGCAGGCTCCCACTGCCAATGTGTGGTTCAATGCAGGGCTCCATTTCATGAACTCTGAGATCGTGACCTGAGCCAAAGTCAAATGCTCAAATGACACAGCCACCCAGGCATCCCTGGGGCCTTACATTCTTAAGCAGAAAGATGGCATATTACCTACAAGCAATTGGTTGTTCTTAGAGATTTCACTGGAAGATGGAAAACTGACAAAAATATGTTTTGGAAAAAAGGATGGAAAGGACAATAGAAAATGTTGAGAGAGACGAATTAGGACACCATTACAGTAGTCCAGGAAAATGATAACCATAGATTGAAATTGAGTGGTAATGGTGTAATGAAAACCCATGGCTGTATTTGAGATATCATTAAAATGTTTAATCCACTTAATTTTAATTATGAATTGATTTTATTGGAGGATGAAAAGAAAGATGGTTCAATGACACCAAGGTTTATGGCTTATCTAACACACTAGGTAGTGGTACAATTGAATGAGATAAGGAAAGCTAAGCAGAAAGCTCAAAATTTTAGCAATTATTTTCTGAAACTTCTTTCAACTTCTTTCAACTATGCTTAATATTTTTAAAATATTTTCAAAATATTTTAAACTATGCTTAATATTTTAAAATACTACTGCCCTTATGGAAGGGCTCTGAGTGACATGGAAAATAAAGAACATGTAATTGGAAATATTATTCTTATAAAAATGTTTTCTAAATAATATTGTCAATATTTCTTTGGGATTCTTTCCTCTTAAAAATATATAGTCATAGTATACTAATTTTTAAAACCAGAGAATGAATCTTCTCAAAAAGGTTTTGCTAAACATTACTGAGTATGAACTAATACATTATTAAAGGTGTCTGATAATTTTGGCAACCTATACCTCTGTTTAAGAAGGAAATATACTGATTATAAATTGATAGCCAGGCTATTCTGAGGGGTTGTGATGACAGAATAAAAGTTCTGGCTCTGGATACAAACTAGTGTTGCTATTGTTAGAAATATATCTGTCCTGTTAAAATGATGCCTTACCATTTAACTAGCACTTGGGCAGAGAAGTTAAATAATTTGTAGAGCTGTCATCCAGAAGAAGGTAAACATAACTCTCATAAGCATTAAGTAAATTCTTTGAACAAGAGAAGTATAAAGTTGAGAAGGCATTGTTGGTATTATGAGTATTCTATTTGTGCACTGAAAAAAACTTTTTTTGGCTTTAACCTGCTTCCTTCAGCTGTACCATGCAGAAAGGCTAGGAATAAACACTATTCAAAGTCAGGAGCTAGCTACAAAACCACAGAAGTTATTTATCACTATATCATGATATAAATGAAACAATGGTTCTTCACCAAACACTTTGAAAGAGATTTTTAAAAATTTGTTTGTGATAAGAAAAATGGTGCAGTTTCCTATTCTTGTCACTATGGTAGAATAGAATTCTGTAGAAATCTTCCTGTACAGAGAACTTAAAACAGTGAATAAATTATGTGCACATATTCTTTATAAGAACACATGACTATACCAGAGATAAAGTTAAAATAATTTTAAGTTCACAGAAGTTAAGGTGGGACAACGTGATTCCACAAAAGTAACCAAAAACTGAAGCCAGTATTCCTCTACAGGTCATCATCAGTGACCAAGCAAATAGGCTTTAAGTGATCATGTTTACCCTGTACGAGTGAAAGAATTGTAATCAGTTTTTACTAAATTCTGAAAAAAATAATCTAGATAGAGGCATCAATAAAATGGTGCCCTAGGAAGTCCCAAGTTCTTGCTCTACCTTGGAGACATTTTTAAAAATAATAAGAAGGCAGCTGGCTAAAAGAATCAATTAAGAACTCTAGAAACAGTCAATGGTCTATGGCAACCAAGAAAATGCCTGATTGAGAAACAGCCAAATTTAAAATTGTAGAAAAATTTGTGTGTGTGTGTGTGTGTGTGTGTTTTAAGTTTATTGGTTTATTTTGAGAGAGGGAGAGAGAGAATGCCAAACAGAGATGTGCTGTCAGTACAGAGCCCAGTGTGGGACTCAATCTCACAAATCATGAGATCAAGACCTGAGCCAAAATCAAGAGCTGGATGTGTAACCAACTGAGCCACCCAGGTCCTCCAAAGTTTGTGGAAATTTGTAAATCAAATTTTTTCACTCCTTCCCCAGCATGGCAGAGTCATGGTCTGGAGGAAGAAACTTGAGTTCACAATGATTTCCTTTGAAATGAAGAGAGCAGAAGAATCCTTATTTTCAATTTCATATGTTGCCTGGGAGCTGCCTGAAGGACTGGTCTCTTTTAACTTAACTTGAATCTCAGATAAGGAGAGGCAATGGACATTGTTCAGGAATGCTGCAAGGAGACTAAGCTTTGCAGACACCTGAAGCAAAAAATAATGGGTAAAGACATACAATAGATGATCTGAAGCCCAAAGGAGAGGATGGCATGAGACTGTTTTTTTTTTTTTATTTAAAAAATATTATTTATTTTTGAGAGACAGAGAGAGCCAGCACAAGTCAACAAGACACAGAATCTGAAGCAGGCTCCAGGCTCTGAGCTGTCAGCATAGAGCCCGATGCAGGGTTAGAACCCATGAACCTTAATAACATGACCTGAGCTGAAGTTGGACGCCTAACCAACTGAGCCACATAGGTACCCTAAGAGACTATTTTGAAAAGTAAGATATCTGAAAATATCCATGTATGTGGGCAATCAAAAAAAAGCCACAGGGAAGCTCAGGAAAGATGCATCATCACAAAAGTTCTGAGAGGACCACAAGCTTTCTTTCTCCTCAGACTGATTCCAAGACTTAGAGCACACCCAACTGCCCCAGCACAGAGTCAATCTGCAAACACTGGGATAAGTGTCCAATTTTCAGCAACAAAAACAACAACAACTCAAAAGATAGAAACAGAACAGCATGGCCCATTCAAAAAATGAAGATTAAGTGACATAATGTTATCTTAAATAACCATACTAAATATGAAAAAGTTAAATAAAAGAAAAGCTAAATAAAAACATGGATTAAGAAAGAAATAAACTCAGAAAAATTATATATGAACAAAATGATAATATCAACAAAAAGATAACAATTATGAATAGCAACCAAAAAATTATGATGCTGAAACATGCAATAACTAAATTTAAAACTTTACTATATAGATTCAACAACAAATTTTGTTTGGCAGAAGAAAGAATCAGTGATATAAAGATAGGGCGTTTTAAACTTTGGAATCTTAGATGAAGAAAGAAAAAATAAACAAAGAAAAATGAACAAAAGACAAAGAAACTTATGAAATACCATCAAGCAGATCAAAATACATATTATGGGACTCCCTGAAGTAGATGAGAAAAAAGGGGACAGGAAAATTAATAGAAAAAATGATGGCTGAAATGCCCCATGTTTGAAGAATACATGGATCTACAAATCCTAGGAGATGAATATCAAATAAGACAAAGGCAAAGAGACTCACACCAAAACACATTACAATCAAACACAAATGTCAAAGGAAAAAAAATCAAATCTTAAGAACAGCAATTGAAAACAGAATCACCATGTACAAAGGATCCTTAACAAGATTATAGCAGATTCCTCAGTAAAAACTTTTGAAATTGAAAGCAATGGGCTCATAAATTGGAAATACTGAAAGGAGAAAAAAAGCCCTGACAATTCTATATCCAACAAAACTGAGCTGAATTTGATAGGGGAAATTAATACATTCTTAGATTAAAAGGAAATAAAATTTGAGAGAGTTTATTACCATAAGACCTAACCTACAAAAACATACTAAAAGTAGTCCTTCAAGGTAAATGAAAGCTTGGTAGTCTGTAACTAGAATTTATAAACTAAAATAAAGATCTCTGGTAAAGATAAATAAATGGTGAAAGTATAAAAATTGGTAGTATTACAGTTTTCATTTATAACTCCATTTTGAAAATTTCTGAGATTTAAAAGTAAATACATAAAATTAAATAATTATCAGTTTATGTTAATGGGAACACAGTATATAAAATGTAATTTTTGACATAAAAAAGTGTGGAGGGCAAAGATGTATAAGAGTAAAGGTTTGTGTATACTTGAATTTGGTATTAGTTCAAATTAGATTGTTATAACTTTAAGATGCTATATGTAATCCCATGGTAACTACAAAATAATCTATAGAATATATAAACAAAAGGTAAAGAGAAGAGATTCAAAATGTGTCACTACAAAACATAAAATAA